CAGACCACAGGGCAATCAAATTAGAATTCAGAATTTAGAAACTAACTCAGAACCACACAGCTTCATGGAAACTGAACAACTGGCTCCTGAATATCCACTGGATAAACAATGAATGAAGGCAGAAGTAAAAATGTTCTTTGAAACAAAGAACGAAGACAAAACATACCAGAATCTCTGGGACACATTTAAAGCAGTGTCTAGAGGGAAATTTATAGCAATAAATGCCCACATGAAAAGCAAGGAAAGATCTAAAATCGACACCCTATCATCAGCATTGAAATAGCTAGAGGAGAAAGATCAAAAAAACTCAAAAGCTAGCAGAAGACAAGAAATTACTAAGATCAGAAAAGAACTGAAGGAGATAGAGACACAAAAAACCCTTCAAAAAATCAATAAATCCAGAAGCTGGTTTTTTGAAAAGATCAACAAAATAGACAGACTGCTAGCCAGATTAATAAAAAAGAAAGGAGAGAAGAATCAAATAGATGCAATAAAAAATTAAAAAGGAGATATCACCACCGACTCCACAGAAATACAAACTACCATCAGAGATTATTACAAACAACTCTATGCATATAAACCAGTAAAACTGGAAGAAATGGATAAATTCCTGGACACTTGTACCCTCCCAAGCCTAAACAAGGAAGAAGCTGAAACCTCGAACATATCAATAACAAGGGCTGAAGTTAAGGCAGCAATTAATAGCCTATCAACCAAAAAAAGCCCAGGTCCTGATGGGTTGACAGCTGAATTCTACCAGACGTACAAAGAGAGCTGGTACCATTCCTTCTGAAAGTATTCCAAATAATCCAAAAGGAGGGAATCCTTCCCAAATCATTTTATGAGACCAACATCATCCTGATACCAAAACCTGGCAGAGACTCAAAAAACAGAGAAAACGTCAGGCCAATATCCATGATGAACATAAATGCAAAAATATTCAATAAAATACTGGCACAAGGATTGTAACAGCACATCAAAAAGCTTATCCATCATAATCAAGTAGGCTTCATCCCAGGGATGCAAGGCTGGTTCAACATACGGACATCTATAAATGTAATTCACCATATAAACAGAACCAAAGACAAAAACCATGATTATCTCAATAGATGCAGAGAAGGCCTTTGACAAAATTTAGCAGCACTTTATGCTAAAAAAATCTCAATAAACTAGGTATCGAAGGAACATATTTCAAAATAATAAAAGCTATTTACAACAAACCTATGGCCAATATCATACTGAATGGGCAAAAACTGGAAGCATTCCCTTTGAAATCTGGCCATAGACAAGGATGCCCTCTTTTACCCCTCCTATTCAATATAGTATTGGAAGTTCTAAGCAGAGCAATTAGGCAAGAAAAAAAATAAATGATGTTCAATTAGGAAAGGAGGAAGTCAAATTGTCTCTATTTGCAGACAACATGATTGTTCATTTAGAAGACCCTATCATCACAACCCCAAATCTCCTGAAACTGATAAGCAACTTCAGCAAAATCTCGGGATACAAAATCAATGTGCAGAAATCACAAGCATTTCTATACACCAATAATAGACTAACAAAGCCAAATCATGAGCGAACTCCCATTCACAATTGCTACAAGGAGAATAAAATACCTAGGAATACAGCTAACAAAGGATGTAAAGGACCTCTTCATGGAGAAGTACAAACCACTGCTCAAAAAGTAAGAGGACACAAACAGATTGAGAAACATTCCATGCTCATGGTTAGTAAGAATCAGTATTGTGAAAATGGCCATACTGCCCAAAGTAATTTATAGATTCAATGCTGCCCCCATCAAACTACCTATGACCCTCTTCACCGAACTGGAAAAAAACACCTTAAGCTTCATATGGAACCAAAAGAGAGCCTGCATAGCCAAGACAATCCTAAGCAAAAAGAACAAAGCTGGAGGCATCATGCTGCTTGATTTTGAACTATACTACAAGGCTACAGTAATCAAAACAGCATGGTACTGGTACCAAAATAGAGAGAGAGAGACCAATGGAACAGAACAGAGGCATTGGAGGCAATGCTACACATCTACAATCATCTGATCTTTGACAAACCTGACAAAAGTAATGGGGAAAGGATTCCCTGTTTAATAAATGGTGTTGAGAAAACTGGCTAGCCATGTGCAGAAAGCAGAAACTGGACCCCTTCCTGATACCTTACACTAAAATTAACTCCAGATGGATTAAAGACTTAAACATAAGACCTAACACCACAAAAGCCCTAGAAGAAAATCTAAGCAAAACCATTCAGGACATAGGATTGGCGAGGACTTCATGACTAAAACACCAAAAGCATTGGCAAGAAAAGCCAAAATAGACAAATGGGACCTAATCAAACTCCAGAGCTTCTGTACAACAAAAAACAACCATCATTAGAGTGAACCAGCAACCAACAGAATGTGAAAAAATTTTCACAATCTACCCATCTGACAAAGGGCTAATATCCAAAATCTACAAAGAACTAAAACAGATTTACAAGAAAAAAAAAAAGACAAACCCATCCAAAAGTGGGCAAAGGATATGAACAGACCCTTTTCAAAAGAAGGCATATATGAGGCCAACAAACATGTGTAAAAATGCTCATCATCACTGATTATTAGAAATAGGCAAATCAAAACCACATTGAGATACTACCTCAAGCCAGTTAGAATAGTGATCATTAAAACATCTGGAGACAGCAGATGCTGGAGAGGATGCAGAGAAATAGGAACACTTTTGCACTGCTGGTGGGAGTGTAAACTAGTTCAACCATTGTGGAAGACAGTATGGTGCTTCCTCAAGGACCTAGAAATAGAAAGTCTCTTTGACCTAGCAATCCCATTACTGGGTATATACCCAAAGGATTATAAATCTTTCTACTATAAAGACACATGCACACATATGTTCATAGTGGCACTGTTTACAATAGCAAAGACCTGGAACCAACCCAAATGCCCATTGACCATAGACTGGACAAGGACAATGTGGCACATATACACCATGGAATACTACACAGCCATAAAAAATGATGAATTTGTCTCCTTTGTAGGGACATGGATGAATCTTGAAACCATCATTCTTAGCAAACTCACACAGAAAGAGAAAATCAAACACCACATGTTCTCACTCATAGGTGGGTGTCGAACAATGAGAACACATGGACACAGGCAGGAGAGCATCACACACTGGGGTCCCTTGGAGGGGGCCAAGGGAGGGAGAGCGGGGGTTGGGGAGGTCAGGGATGGATAACATCGGGAGAAATGCCAGATGTGGGTGACAGGGGGATGGAGGCAGCAAACACATTGCCATGTGTGTACCTATGCAGCAGTCCTCCATGATCTGCACATGTACCCCAGAACCTAGAGTACAATTTAAAAATAAAAGAGTCATTCTCTATTCTCTTGCATCCCAGCTTTAGATAATTGGATGGACTTTTTATATAAATGGAATCCTAATATATAGTCTTTTTTTTGAGACAGAGTTTCGCTCTTGTTACCTAGGTGGGAGTGCAATGGCACGACCTCGGCTCACCGCAACCTCCGCCTCCTGGGTTCAGGCAATTCTCCCGCCTCAGCCTCCTGAGTAGCTGGGATTACAGGCACGCGCCACCATGCCCAGCTAATTTTTTGTATTTTTAGTAGAGACGGGGTTTCACCATGTTGACCAAGATGGTCTCGATCTCTTGACCTAGTGATCCACCCGACTCAGCCTACCAAAGTGCTGGGATTATAGGCTTGAGCCACCGCGCCCGGCCTACATAGTCTTTTGTAATTTGTTTCTTTCAATAAGCATAATTTTTTGAGGTTCATTCATGTTATAATATGTATCAAGTCTTCATTCCTTATAATGGAATGATATTCCATTGTGTGGATGCTATGGTTTAATGTTCCCACCAAAACCCACCTTGAAACTTCATGCCCATAGTAACAGTATTAAGAAGTGGGAACTTCAAGAAGGAATTAGGTCATGAGAATTCCACCCTCATGAGGGGATTAATGCTGCTTGGAGGGAGTAGGTTAGTCATCTCAGGAGTGATTACTGATTACAAGGATGAGTTTGGCTTCATTTCCTCTCTCTGTCTTGCATTTTGCTTTTGTCTTCTGCTAAAGGATTGCCCTCACCAGTTGCTAAACCATGGTTCCAGAACCATGAGCCATTTCTTTTCTTTACATATTACGCAGTCTGTGGTACTCTGTTATAGCAGTGGAAAACAGACTAAGACAATGGATATACCACATTTCATATTTCCATTCATCAGGAGACAGACATTTGGGCTATTTCCACTTTTTTGGCTAGATTTTTTTCTTTTTTCTTTTTTTTTTTTTTTGAGACGAAGTTTCGCTCTTGTTACCCAGGCTGGAGTGCAATGGCGTGATCTCGGCTCACCACAACCTCCACCTCCTGGGTTCAGACAATTCTCCTGCCTCAGCCTCCTGAGTAGCTGGGATTACAGGCAGGCGCCACCATGCCCAGCTAATTTTTTGTATTTTGAGTAGAGACGGGGTTTCACCATGTTGACCAGGATGGTCTCGAACTCTTGACCTTGTGATCCACCCACCTCGGCCTCCCAAAGTGCTGGGATTACAGGCTTGAGCCACCGCGCCTGGCCTAGATTTTTAAACTGTTAATAATTTTTTCTACAGGAAGCCTATTTCTTAAAGATCCTTCTTTATGAAGGTCTTATTGAGTGATTAATTTATCCCATTTATATTAACCTAAGACATTAAATGACTATTATTTAAAGTTCCCAGATAGCATGAGATAATCAAATATCAATCATTATTTTTAGATAATCAATTATTGTACTAAACTGATGTCATCTCAGTCAAAAAACAGAGACTTGGCATTTTAGTGCGCTCATTCAGCTTCAAGTTAAATGTCCCATTTCTGTAAGGTTTTCTGATATAATGAATATAACACACAGTTTCCCATCATTACCTCTGAAGCCAGTGAAGGGCCTGGAGATAGGACCTCAGGTTGGAAGTCCCTGTTTCAAATTACAGAAGAGTATAATAGGCACTTAGCTTTATTGTTTCAATTACATAAAGTAACAAGGACTAATTTCCAAAGCATTGGCATAAAATGTCCCCAGGGGATCTGGTTTACTGAACAGCTAAAAGTGATCTACAATGAACATATTTGCTATTGTACATAAATGGTACTTTTAAAGAGCTTTAGAGTTTTTTTCTTAGGAAGAGAAATCTGATTTAGCCTGTTTGTATGTTTGGCTACACAGAAAGAGAAACCTGCATTGCGTTCTGTCCCAGTGGTTCCCAGTGGTCCACCAAACAGCAAGCATAAGTCCTCTTTCTCCCTGGTGTATTTTTACCCAGGTTGCACCCATCTCAGGTAGAAGAGAGCTGATCCTGATGGTCTGATTTCAGCATATGGAAGGGATTACTTTTTCCAGGGTGGAACTCTTTTAAGGCATTTACACATTTAGCAATTACAGGTAGGATCCAACTTGGTTCTTTTTTTCCATCTCCAACAGTGTGCAGATTCATTGCTCTGACCTGAGAAGCAGAAGCAAAGCAAAGGAAATGGCAACACTTCAATTAATTTTGAAAAAAAGAGATGATGTTGATGAGGAAAAGACAGGTAAAATGCCATGAGATTAAGGCTATCCAGAGAGTAACGTTCTTTTGCACGCTCCTCTATAAATCCAACTTGGTCTGCCCCTGCCTGTGGCTAGGTCTCCTGGACCCAGCTTTGCATTTGCTAAGAAGATCTGTAGCAGAAGGCCCATGTCAGCTAACTCTGGTAACAAACAGTCCCAGATCTCAGTGGCTTAATTTGTTAAAAATATATTGCTTCCTCACATCACAGTCTAATGTGGTTGGCAGTCATGCAGGAAGAGTTCAGGTTTCTTCTCTTTTGACACCACCATTGTCAACACATATCCTAGTCATCACAAAATGAGTGGCCAGGCCTGCAAGTCATGTACTGCCGCCCGTCTTCCATTAGTCAGAACTCCCATAGCTTGAGCCTAACTGCAAAGGGCCCAGGAGGAAAGTCAATGGGCTTGGTAAACACTTGGCAGTGTCTCTATCACACTAGCTCTGGGCTAGGGGATAAGAAATATTTCTATTCTTCTCTGAAGGCCTGATTCTGGTGTCTCTGGAAGGGACTCATTGTCACATTTTATAGTAAATTCTGAGATTAGCCTTTCAATATAGTGAATAGTAGGGGTTCACCTAGAGTTGAATTGTTGAATATTCCTGATTCCCCATTTCAAAACATTATCTCAAATAGCAATTAATAGTATCTGAATCAGCAGTTGGAGATTCTGAAAAAGTGAAATTCAAGAGCTTTGCTGAATCCTCTCTAAGTAGATTTTATTTAATGCTGCAAAGGTCAGTAAGAGTGCAGTCGTGTACTAGAGCTTTGGCTCTTTCCTGATTTACATTGTTGAAATGTTTTATCACTGAAAAAGATTTCACCTCCAGCAAAAAAAAAAGCTACTGGAATTTTCATTTAACCTATGTGTGCATAGGATTACAACCTGATTCTCAGAAGAGATGCCCAGCGGTTAAGAGCATGGGTTCTTTGAAGACTGCTCTAATGTGACCTTGAGCCATTTACTTTTTTGTTTGTCTGTTTGTTTGTTTGAGACAAAGTCTTGCTGTGTTGTTCAGGCTGGAGAGCAGTGGCGTGATCTCAGCTCACGGCAACCTCCTCCTCCTGGGTTCAAGTGATTCTAATGCCTTAGCTCTGGATTAGCTGGGATTTACAGGTATGCCAAGTTACGTATTTTTTGTAGAGATGGTGTTTTACCATATTGCCAAGGCTGGTCTTGAATTCCTGACCTCAAGTGATCCTCTGGCCTTGGCCTCCCAAAGTGCTAGGATTACAGACATGAGCCACCATGCCTGGCTGAGTGATTTACTTAATCCTCTGTGCCTCAGTTTCCCTATTTTTCAAACTGAAGAGTGAGGCATAAGGATGATAATAATAGTACTTACCCGGAATAAAGTGGATTGCCTTGCTTATCCTACATTCCACCTCCCTCCAGGGGTCCTTCCTCTCCTATGAGGTTGAAAAGCTAAACTCTGCATTTCTCAAACTCCTTTGCAGATTGGTATTTGGAAGTTAGGTTAGTCTTGTCATTTAGATTGACTTGTTTGAAATTTGGAAGGCAGACATGAGGAGGCCATTCACTCACCTCACTTGGCCAATTTTCTGCTGGCAAGCTAGATCTTGGAGGTGTGAGGCTACATCAGCAGCAGGAGTCCAGCGTCCTTTTTCTAGCTTCTTTGGTGTCAACAGCAGGGGTAGCAGTGGGGTCTGCAGCAGCTTCTCAAATCTGGATTCCTGCTCTGGGATGCATTATTGAATTTACCAGCTCTCGGTGACCTTAAAAGTCGTAGCTTTCCTAGTGAGAGAGTTCTGTATTTCTCTGAGAATTACTCCTGGAGGCCCAACCTAGAACCTATTCCTTCACCCTTTCCAACAACTTTGTACACATCTAATTTTTTGTATTGAATCCCAGCTTGCATAAAGTGGTTTCATTTTTTCTGTAATGCATCCTGACAAAATCGGTATCTCATAGTGTTATTGTGAGAATGGAGTAGTATACATGAAACTAAACTAAAACCTGGCATGTAGTAAGTATTAAATACATGTGAGTTTTGTTATTATGTACACATATGACCAAGAATGTGAAATGAACTGTTACAGGATTGTCCAGAGTTCCATTTTAAAAGATAAATCTAGTCCTAGCAATATGGCTACCCAGCACCAAATAAAGTGGAGATTTAGTTACACACAGTTAATTTGCCCACATTTTCTTTTACATGCTAAGTAAGGAAAAGCTGTTCGGCCCTCTGCTGACCCCATTACATTGATAACTGCCATTTCACCTGGTCCTAAAAGGGCACAACCTCAAATTACTCTTTAGCTCTTGGACTCTATGAGGACACTGTGGATGAAGATGAATATGCACCAAGAAATATCTTATTAAAACCCTCTTTTTAAAAATCAATTCATTTAATTTCAGAAGCCAGCTAAAGATGGATAACTGGCTATTCTTAAAAAATGCTAATATGAAAGAAGAAAATTTTAAACGAAATTATATTTGGTCACTCTGAAACTTCCTTTATTCAAGATTTTAAAAGCCTAATTTAACATTCATTCTTTCATCCTGAAATCCATTCAGTCTGCCTTTCTTATAAATTACCTTTTCAATGAATGCTTTGTATCAAAGCTACAGAATTGTTTCCATTTGTGGTTCCTTCTATTGAGCTGATATTTTGAATCCAAAGTGACCATTACTTGCCAGGCATGAGGAATTTTCAACAACTCAATATCATTGATGTAATTTGGGTGGCTGTTTTTGGGGATGGCAGATGTTTGTTATCAATGATGATGATGATATTTTTGACAAAAGAGAGACTGTTTAGCTTTTTTGGGAAATATTTCATTTTCCTATTTACATCCTTGTATGACTTGATAAGCATCTTCTACCATCAAAGGATTGCTGAATGCCACAAAGAAGAGAGGTGAGAGTACACTTTAGAACTAGGTAGACTCCGATAAGATTCTGACTACAACTTTTAATAGCAATTTTTGACAAAAATTATTACCAAATTTCATTTGTAAAACAATAATAATCATAGTTTCTCCTTGGATTTTTTTATGCCTACTAAGGTAAACATGTACATAAAATACTTAAGAGAATACTTGGCACGTTGGAAATCTGTGGAGCCACTTTTTATTACAAGCAAGTTGCTTTGGTTTCTCACTCAAATTTCTTTGCAGAATATTAAGATAAATTTGTTTCAAGATCTAGTAAATTATTTTAAGTATTATTCTGAGTATTATTACTATTCCTTAGTATCCTTTTTTGACACCTCTTAATTTGTAAATTAGTGAACTCTCTTTGAACCAGAATATTTCATTAACAGAGAACTCCTAAAATATGACAGATAACAACAGGTTACTGTATTTTTCATAAGTCACTCAATAGTTCTAAAAAAATCACATGTTAAAAAATACTAAAACAAAGCTTGAATATAAATGTCTACAGGCCTAAATGCCATAGAATCACTTCATGAATTCTATTATTGCATGGGGAAAAAAAAAAGAAATATTTTTCCAGTTGAGCACCTGTTTATTTCAATCATCAGAGCACGGGAGGCTATATTTGAAAACTTCACTTCTGAGCTCAGAATCTAAACTTACTCCACAGATGGTTTTTAGGATATTTCTAGACAGGAAATACAAACTGTTCATAAAGTATTAAATATTCTTATAGTCATTATTGGAAATGCTTTATGTTTACAAATGTGACTTCAATTATAAGCGTGTAGGGCTTTAAAAAGCTAAAGGCAGAGGACCATTGGTGGGAATCACGCCACTGACATTTTCTACAATGAACATTTGTAGATCCCCAGGAGTGTGTTTTCATCTGCATATGCAAAGATGATGAGAGTTGTTGAGAGTTCTGAGTCTTCTGTGAGTTTTGACTTACCAAAGCCAGGACCCCTGCCCTGGTCCAAGGAACTGACTGGGTTTTGAAAGTTGAGGAGGGAAGTTTCCCTTCAAGTACTCAATGCCTCTTGTCCCTGTAAGGCATGATCCACACAAACCCAGGGAATAAGGACCCTGATTTCCCATAGCCATCTCTGGCCATCTGACTTACCTTTTGCTTTACCTTAGCCTGTTGTTCTGTAACCAGACTTCTTCGTGCTCTGTCAGATAAATAGCAATCAATTGTGATTGTCAAAGTTCCACCTGCTGGTGTTAGCACTGAGGTTTATGACAATGGTACATCTGACTGCTACCCTGAAAATGACATGGAAATACCACATTTGGGGCTCCATTCCTCAAAATCAGGGTATTTGACATGAAATATTATAACATAAAAATTAGATGTAGATAATGAGTAAAATTTTCCTTTTGTGAAAAAATATTGTGGTTTATCCTTTTTTGACACCTCTTAATTTGTAAACATTTTTAGACAGGGTCTTGTTCTGTCACCCAGTTTGGAGTACAGCAGCATGTACCATGATAGCTCACTGCAGCCTCAAACTCCTGGGCTCAAGTGATCCTCACACCTTAGCCTCCCAAGTAGCTAGGACCACAGGCATGTGTCACCATGCCCAGCTAATTTTATTTTTTATAGAGATAGGGTCTTGCTATGTTGCCTAGGCTGATCTGGAACACCTGGACTCAAGTGATCTTCCTGCCTCTGTCTCCCAAAGTGCTAGGATTACAGCCTAAGCCATCTCCCAATTTTAAAAACATTTTATGGAAGTTAAATTTACATACCATTAAATATACTCATTTTAAGTATACAATTCAATTACTTTTTGTAAATTTACCCAGATTTGCCACTATCACCAAAATTCAGTTTTAGAACATTTTGGATTGTTCATTGCTAGTATACTGAAATACAATTGACTGGGCACTGTGGCTTACACCTGTAATCCCAGCACTTTGAGAGGCCGAAGCGGGTGGATCATGAGGTCAGGAGTTCAAGATCAGCCTGGTCAAGAGACCAGCCAGGCCAATATGATGAAACCCCATCTCTACTAAAAATACAAAAATTAGCCGGGCTTGGTGGCAGGTGCCCATATTCCCAGCTACTCAGGAGGCTGAGGCAGGAGAATTGCTTGAACCCGGGAGGTGGAGGTTGATGTGAGCAGAACATTGCACTCCAGCCTGGGGACAGAGCGAGAGTATGACTCAAAAAAACCCAAAAAGACAAAAAAGAAATACAATTGATTTTTGTATATTGATCTTGTGTACTACAATTTTACCAGACTTTTCAAAAGTAGTTCTAATAGTTTTTTTTCTTGTGTGTGTTCCTTAGGATCTTCTATATATAAATTTCTGTTTTCTGTGAATAAAGACAGTTTTATTTTTCCCCTAATTTTTAACAGATTTCAAATCTAGTCACTTCATGACAAGGAGATACTGGGAGGAGATGCTGGTCTTGGGCATACAGCCCTTGCAGGGTATCTATCTGGCAAGTCTGGCATGAATCAGGAAACTATCCCTTGATTTCAGGAACAAGACCCTTCTTTGGAGTTATTTGTTTACTTATAACTGTGGTTATAATTACATATACTTATATGTTTTTATATATTTATAACTGTGATTATTTAGCACAGTTAATGAGAGCGTTTTCCTTCATAGGTTGAAAAACAAAAGAAATGCAATACTGGTAATTCAAATGCGTTTTGATGGCATTTATGGATAGAACCTATACATTATGTACTGTAATTTTTACTAGATGTTCATTGCTGCTGCTTCTTACTCAACTGAAGAATGAAAGAATTACTCCTCACAAAAAATTGTCTCCTTTATTTCCTTTTTTCCCCACAATTTGTCAATTGCACTTAATTTTGATATCTTTATAAACTCCCATGAACTTCATATCCATGATCTATTTATTGCTAAATTCTACTCCTCTCTTATCATATTGCCACAAAAGGCTTAACTTTTTAAATTGTTCTCCCTTTCTCTCCTTGACCACTTGAAAAGCCAAAGATATTTTCTCCATTGTTAAAGCTATTTAATATTCTTCCAGATAAAATACCAGTCTACACATTTACCATTTCTCATCCTGATTAATGTAAACTTCTACTGTTGGCTTACTTACAAATCACTTTTATTTGCCAAAAATTATTTTCCGTCTTTGTTCTTGTAAGAACATATCTTTACTAGACTCCTTTTTGTTGTTGTTGTTAACTGCATTCCCCCTTAGGATTTCCATTATATTATGGATCTTGTTTGTCCTCCATGTGTACCGCTTTCTGTCATCTTGGCTAATCTTTTCACTTTGAGGATTTTAGTCTCTGCAGCTATCCTTTTGAAATGTAACTCCTCTACCCATTTCAGAGAGTAGCATTCACACATCCACACACTTACCAAGCTGGGGGTTTGGAAGTCGGGAAATGTGCTGTTTTAGTCACCTGTGTGCCCCCAGCACCTAGCACAGGACTCTGCATAAAGATGCCTCTTCATTTTCCCTGATGGCTGAGCACCTTCCAGGAGGTGCCTAATGCCCTGCGGCACTCTGGGGACAGAAAGAGGAATTAGAAGCTGTCCAGGGCTTTGATGAGCTCACACTCTAACTTTGAGCATTGCGGAAAGGGCAACTTATGATTCATTGTGATAAGGCTATGACAGAGACAAACGGCTATGAAAACATAGAGAAAAGACTCGCCCAGGGGTGAAAGTTTCGGGAAGAAGGTGCCACTGGAACAGGGCCTTGACAGAGTTTTTAGTAGAAAAGAATCTAAGCAAAATGGTTCCATAGACACTTTAGCTGTTGAAGTAAAATTGGAAAAAAAAAAACCAGTATATTAAGAGCACACATTCTGGTCTATAGTTCCATCTCTGCTATTTTCTAGTCATGTGGTCTTGGGCACAACATTTATCTTTGTTCTAATTTTCTTATATTTTAAATGGGAATGATATGACAACATATGTGTCAACAACTCTGTGAGGGTCACATAAAATTATACATGTGCAAATTCACTTGTGAATCCTCACTTCCAAAACATTATATGAAAATAGCTTAATCAGTATATGTTGTACATATGGTATGAAAGTTTATATTCCCTATTGGGAAGCCAATTGATAGTGTTTGTGGTTAAATATAAACTCATATAATTATCAAAAATTATGATTAAAAATCAATAACAGAAGAGAAAAGCATATTATTTAGAATATTGGAAGCAAAACACCAGTGAAATACCTGAAAGTGTTTGCCTTTGGGGAGTGAGCTTTGGAGGGCAAGTGCATAGTAGGCAGGTGTTTACGTATCACTTAACTTTTAAAATATTTGGTTTTTAAAAAAGTAAAAGTAAACCAAAAAGAGTGGAGAGCCATACAGAAGGAAATTTGTGACCTGGAATCCCCTGTTCTGTCATAACCCCAAAGAAGAGCACAGACCCTGCCCCTTGAAGCCTGGCCTCATACCCAGACTCACTCTGAGATTACTGAAGTTCAAGAGCAGTAGCTCCTAATGGGGGATGTACTATGTCCTCAGGGAAAGTTTTGGTCTCCTGGTGGGGGGGAGGGGTCATTATTAATTGTCATAGTGACAAGGGGTGGTGAGCTGGGTGAAGGAAAGTCTGGAGTGGGTCACAGGCATCTCCTGGGCAGGAACCGGGGATGCTAGGTATCTTGCAAGATGTGAACAGGTCCACACAGTGTAGGATTGTCCTGCCTGTCTCGTGACTTTCACATATCGCACTGTACCTTCATGTAGTCAGAAAAACGCATCCTGTTTACAAGTATCTAAGCCTAGACTCAACTGTGTTCTAATATATTCACATTGAATTTTCTGAAATTTTTTCTTGCAGTTTTAAACATGTTTAGTTTAGAACTCTAACAAATATTGTGTGTGCCATTTCAGAAAATCACATCACCAACAGCAACACCATTTGTAGATTCTGAGACTCCAGTGCAACTGTAGCTGTTGCATCACAGTGAATCCAAGCATATAGAGAAATATATTTATTCTCTATTTCAAAGTTTCCCGTATAAAAGAAGTATATTGATAATCCACTGAAAGGGTTTTACTTTTCTTATGTTATGCATCTATCTCTTCCATTATGTCTTCTTGTGAAGTCATGCCTAAACATCTACATATTAAAATATAGTTTATTATTAATTACTTAAAAATTTGTATTCATTTTACAGCTAGAGTAGTATGTATTCATTTTGAAATTATGCCTGTAGAGAGGTCATATTATCTATAAACTTTATTTCAAGATAGTAAAAGAGTTTTTAACAAGTATTTATCACATAAGGCAATGAATCTGATAGGGCTTGAGTATAGTTATTTAAGGAAGGCCTGGAAGTTCTTTTTCGTATTTGACCTACTCTGACTGTTTAGGGCCGTTTTCAATTTTCAGTCACCTTCCTCCTCCCTTTGGAGATGGAAAAGAGCTACTCAGAACCACCTTAAATTTTTCTTTCTCTTTTTAAGTCCAGAGGTGTCAATGATGTGATATTGCCCACCAGGTTTGGCATAGCAAAGCCTTTTGTGGCTATAAATATAATTTTACATAGTTCACAGTTCAAAATCCATACTTTTTTGTGTGTGGAATCGGCTGCAGGATGACAGGAGCTTTTCTGCTGTCTTTCACTGCAGCCTCTCTGGAGCTTCCAGGACTGGTTTTAAAACTGGCCCTGTTTCGTGATCTCTGGGGCCCCATGTGTCCCCAGAGCTAGGGCCTGCTACACTCTGCCTTCTACCCTGCACACTGCTAATTCACCAAACTAATTAGGCTGGTTAAGGGTCTGTAAAGGCAGAAATCTGTTGGAGTTTCGTTTCATTCATTTCTTTCAGAGGAACTTGCAAGGAAGCTCCTGTCAGCTTTTGGAACGGGAACAGAATCTCAAAGGCTTGGCATGAGAAATAGCTGAAGGCGCCAACCTTCCAGGCCAAATATTCTAGTCACAAAGAGTCCCAATTCAACTTTTTCCCTTGAGGCAAACTTCAAAGTATGCAGGAATCAAAAACTCATATAATGAAAATAAACCAAGGGATAACACACTTAGCTAAGACTTGCTGGAAACACATTTCTCCCACTGTACCTCAATTCTCTCTGCCTCCAGAAAGACTTCATGGTACTTAATTACTTGCAAGAGGGACAGAGCAGGTTTTCTAATGTTCACTTACTTTATTCCAGTTGCACCAGTTTTATTGAAAAAAGTTACGTAGCTTAGTACCCGCCAGGCACTGTCCTAAGCACTTTAAAAATGTTAATTCATGTAATCCTCATAACAACCCTATGAGATAGGCACTTTTATTATTCTTATTTTACACATGAGGAAACATGTACACATTGTCTATTTTCCTGTGCTGGTAGATTTTCTTCTTTCTTTTTTTTCTTACATAAGGTTTAAGACAATGCATAATTATCTTGTGGAATTTTTTTTCATGATTGAAAAAAATCATAAAATGACTAGAGCAAAGCATAATCTCAAAACACAATGGTTAGAGTTGTGAGGTTTTTGTTCTAGTGAAATGTGAGCTACTTAAGAAATTCCATAGAAGGGCATAAACTAAAACCTTTTAGAGATTCATTTGACCATTAGACCTAATTTAGCAGAATAAAACAGCACCAGAGGTTTTAACCTCTTGAATTTCTCATGTTTTTATGTGCTCTTGGCATTGCCTAATTTTTCCCCCACTAGTGAACATCTAGGCTTTTGGGAGGTGGCAAGAGAAGAATAGCATCCTTACAACCTGTGTAAGGCTATTGTTCACACACCAATGCACATATTGAAAGAGTAAATGTCCAACTACAGCCATTCACACTTTTTGCTTGCACCTATGTAGTACCACTTATCTGCAAGCTTTTGTGACAATTTAACACATATTCAACTAGTTGGTTTTAAAAACTATCATAGTGTTAGCAAAGTCTTGAGATTTTTGGTCTCTTAAAATTAAAACTGTCCTACTGGAGCATTTTGGATTTTGTAAAAGAAAAGTATATGGCAGCTTCACTTACTAGATAAATCTTCCGTAATATAAATTCTTTAGGGTATTGAAATTCTTACCACCCTTATTTTGGAATTCTGAAGCACATGCCATTTAGATTTGGATTATTTTCAACTATCAATTAGTAGGGAGCGGTGGGACTACTCTCCCCTTTAAAGCATTTTTCCATGCCACTGAAATTTTACAGGAAGCTTGCTATTAACTGGAATGGTCAGAGAATGTGGATGTCTGGCTACTTGGATAAGGAAAGAGTTAATGAGAAAGCCCATTCTGTTAGAACTCTTAGTCTCCTCTGTAAAACTAATTAGCCCACCTAATGGCCTTAGAAAACAAAGTATATAGTACTAAACATCACTGATTCTTTCTTTAGAGAACAAGGTATTGTTATACCTCAGTGTCCTCATTCAGAAGGTTCATTATTGCTCTACAGAACTTAAGAGAACAGAGGGGACAGAACTCAACCTTCATTGCTTCCTGGACTTACCAACTTTGGAATTCTTTTCAATTTTTTTTTTTAATCAACAAGATGCATAGGCTCTGGAGCAGCTTGCCAGGGTTTAAATTCTAGTTCTACCATTTACTCATTGCATGATGTTGAGCAAGTTGATTCTCTGTTGCTGAGTTTCCTCATCGTAAAATAGGCAAAATAGTAGCACCTACAACAAAAACAACCCATTACTACTCATGTTATGAGTATTAAATATTCATACTAAAGCACTCAGGAGAATGTCTGTGTCTGAAATTAGGTAAACTGCAAAGTCTAACGGGATAGTCTCCAAGACTGTCCTCACTCTTACACTAACTGAAAGCCTGGGGGAAGTGTTCTAAAACCACCCCTTGTTTTGATAATTCACTGAAAGAGCTAACAGAACTTACTGAAAGCCATTACACTGATAACTGTTACAGTTTATTATAGGATACACATTAGAACCAGCCACAGGAAGAGACACAAAGGGCCAAATCTAGGAGGGCTCCCAGCACAAAGCTGCCATTATCCACAGGATATTCTACTCTCCTGGTATCGATGTGCAACAATACAGACGGATTATTGCCAACGTGGGACGCTCACCTGAACTTCAGTGTCCAGAGTATTTATTAGAGCTTCATTATGTAGGCATGACTGATTGTTTGCCCATGTACTTAAACTCAGTCTCTAGTTTCTCCCCTCACTCTCCAGTGTCAACCTAACACCGCATGGCTCAAGGGCCCTACCATGTGTAACCTTGTTAGCATAAATTATCAGGAATTGTCTAGCTCACCATGAATAAAAAACATGTTTCTTTCACTTGGAAAATTCCAAGAGTTTAAAGGTTACCTCCCAGAAGCCAGGGACAAGGACCAGACCTCTCTTTGGGTCAGGCCAATTTCTTTATTATGCAGAGTAAGCAATCTCCTAATGTTTATGATTATCATAGTAATTGCCCTCTTTCTCTTTTAAGAAGATCAAGGAAAAACATTTTTTTCACTTCTCTAACTTTTTATTACAAAAATGTATAAACATACATAAAAAACATTGTAAGAAACACACAATATAACCACCATTAGATCCTACAATTAACATTTTGCCATATTTATCTATCTAGATGAATATGTATATACATATGTGTGCATATATAATAAGCATGTTATGTATGTGTAATATTTTTGCTAAATCATTTGAAAATAAGTTGCAGCTATCACAACTATTTATCCTTCAAAACTTCAGCACATATTTCCTATGAAAAACTACAATACCACTATTATAACTTAGAAAACTAACAATAGTTTCCTAACATGTAATATCCAGACTATATTCTAATTAAAGACAAAATATGAGTTGATTAGGGGATCCAATTAGTTGACATACTCCCTTTCTCTTTTCCCCCAGACACCATGCTCATCCTGTATCTCCCCTGTAGAAGCCTCCCCTGTAGGCTTCATGTTTCTTGCTGATCAAGTCCAAACACTGGTATCTGCTTTTCAATGTTTCTATGATCTTGTAGGTCTTTTGTGTGTTGCCTCTGTTCCCACATACATTTACATAACATTTCCTGATTGCCTACTGTGTTCCAGGCACGGTGCTGATTACTTCGTGTTCACAGTCTCAGTTCCTATTGCCTCACACCATCAACCCTCTCTGCTCAGACATGGTGTCTCCCTATCTTTCTGCAAAAACTGTGCACAGTGATCACAGATAGGTGTTATTCTGTCTTCTCAGCCTTCAGAGTCCCCTGGTTTAGTGA